TATAAAAACAGCAAAAAAAAATTGCTTCTATAAAGACATAAATTTTGAAGCACTGGACAATGAAAGGACTGGACATTAACAAAGGACTGGCCAAAAACAATGTTGAACAATCACTGAAAAATAAAATCCCACAGGATGAGATTTTTTACCATCAGTGCGGGACAAGGCCCAGCACAAGTAGTGATAGGTTGGGGCAGAGCTACACACAGACCCTTGCCTCAGGTAGCTCAGAAAAGGAGGATTAGCAAAGAGTTCCAGGGGAGGCCAGGGAGACCCAAAGAGTGAGCTGCCCACTGTCAACTATGATATTCAGAGAATTGATAAGGGAAAAAGAAACCGTGTTCCCTCGAGGATAAACAGGAAATTTAAAGTTGGAAGATCACCTCAGAGCCCAAAACGTATAAATACTTCAGAGCAACCAGAACTATAAGAGCAAGAAGGCAAACTCAATAATCCAACTGATTCTCGGGAAAATATCCAGTTTATAAAACAAACAGAAGGTGCCTTTAAGACATGTGAATTAACTTTCTCAGTGGAATAGGATAAGTCATCCATGAAACAAGTGTAGGCTATTATTTTCTAAAAATGGATCTGCAAATGAAAACCATGACCACTTAAATTAAAAAGAGAAATTTCAGTAGGAGAACTGAAAAGCAGAATGGACATAACTGAAGAGCAATTTAGCAGCTGAAGAAATTGTCGCATCAATAAGAAAGAGACATCTAAGTAGAAAAATGGACAAAGGATACGAAGAGATGAATCACAGAGAAATCCAAGGGGCCATTAAATGTGTGGGAAAAAAAAGTCCTCAGCCTTGTGACAATCAGAGAAAGGCAAGCTAAACAAGCGAGATACAGTGTCTGCCTCTCTGATGGGGGAGAATTAAATGATTGAGAATCCTCAGTGTTGGCACGGGGCAGGGCATTGGCCTCATGTAGTTTTGGCAGGAACATGAGTTGGCACCATGTTTTCCAGGGCAATGTGGCAGGCCTTTTCTAATTAAAATGTGCATGCTTTCCTCTCCAGCAGTTCCAGTTCCAGGGATACTCAGCATGTATCCACAGTGACACGGTGACATATACATAGTGCAAGTCTCTGCGGCCGCGTTCACAATCATGAGAAGCTGGAAGGCAGGCGAGTGGATGGAAAAAGCTGGCAGGTGATTAAGCTGCTACACATCCATAATGCGGAGTACCACAGAGCAGCTACCAGGATGGTGCGCGCGCAGGCACCAACGATCTCACCCACGTATTTGAGTAGCAGTGGACAGGGCCTGGGTGCTGGGTATACTGTTTCTCAACACTTTACACAGTGATGCCTTGTTGAAAGCTCACCAGGATGGTAATAGGTAAGTGCTGTTTCTAAGCCCACCTATTACAGAGGGAACCAAGGCACAAAAGTTTGAGTAGTTAACCCAAAGTCACACACAGCAGTAACGTTGGGATTTAAACTCAGTACTCTGATTCTAGGGATGGTGCTTTTAAATATGATACTGTATGAGGTATTCAGGGAGTTCTCTTTAAAATCAAATTCCTGAGCTGTATGTGAAGAGCTAACCAATTTCTGTGAAAAATGTCAGAACTATGTATTTTCCTATGAACCTAAGTTTTCATGCTATTACCCAGCAATCCTTGGATAAGTACGTGCAAAGCTGTGATCCATCCGATGGAGGACAGAAACAAGCGTTTGAAATGAATGAGGTCCTCATTCAATACTGAATTTAGTTTTTCTTAAAATATAATCTTGAATGATGTAATTAAAATTTTAATTTATAAAATCTCCCAGATCTCCACATGGCATAGGTAATACCTCTCTGTACTGTTAATTGTGAAAGTTCAGATTTGGCAGGAAAGAAAAACCTTCAAAGCTATCTGACTGAGCCCTGCTGTTCAGAAACTCACCCTGGGAGATGGGCATTTACCCACATAGAGACAAGGCACCTTGCTGGTAGAGCAGCTCACACTGGACAGGGCAAACAAACACCAGGATTTAATGGGCAACACACAGACTCTAGGAGCACAAAGCCTGGCGCCCAACTCCTGGACCCAGCTGACACAGCTGGGAGAGTTTGGCCCAGTTCCTCAACCTCCCTGGCCCTGGGTTTTGGCTCTGTGAACCAGGGCCCATGTGCATCCCCAGAAGGGCTGTGTGAGGACTAAAGAGGGGAGGGCATGGATGAGACAGGAGGCTGGAGGCTTGACTCAACCAGCACCACACACTCCCTCCCTTCTCTCTTTCTTCTGGTTCCTGACACAAGAGAGATCTGCCCAGTTAGTCTGGCGGGTTAGTTCCAAGTTAGTCCTGCTTTCTGGGCAGCACTCTACACTCAATGCACAGGTATTTGTCACTGGTGGCTTGCTATGTTCTTTGATCATAAGACCAGGTCACGTGCTACATATCTCTCCTACAACCACAAAGGGAGGAAGAGAAAGCAGCACAAATCCAGGAGGCCCTGCTGTGGGGTCACTAGTGAGGTAGGCAGGTGACCGTGTGGCCCTCCTGTGCCTGCAGAGCTCAGGCAGGAGATGGAACCCAGAGTGACATGATGCACAGTGATACGGATGTGAAACTCACAAGGACCCGTGTGTGCAGGGCTTTTGGACCCTGGTGTTCCACAACTAAAGGTGATATTAGGAGGAAGGACTGGTCAGAAGCAGGAGGTTGCTGGGGCTGTGACTCTGGAAACTCTCTCCCTCACTCTGCTCCCTGCCACCGTGGTGTGCACTGCTCGTCCACTGCTGGGCCCTTGGCCACGCCTTACTGCCTGGGAACTGGCCAACCATGAGCAGAAACTGAGCCAAAATAAAACCCTCCACCTTTAAATTCTGGGTGTTGGGTATTTTGTCCCCGCAGTGAGGACAGGGATTCAGACCTCCAAGTATGGCGCACACCTTGTGCCGCTGCTATGGCTTCAGTGCGAGAGTTGCAAATGTGACCACCATGGTAATGGCATGAAGAGGTAGGACCTGTCTGAGTGACGAGACCCGGAGGGCTCTGCTTTCTGGAGCAGGTTAAGGCCACCATCTCAGGAAGGAAGGTCAGCCCCCTGCTGCTCTCTCTAGACCTCTTGTCCTTCCACCATGGACTGAGGCAGCTAGAGGGCCCCACCAGATGCACCCCTCAGCTTTGGACCTCAGCTTCCGAAACTGTGAGAGCTGAGCTTCTTCTGTTCTTTATGTGACCCAGCCACATGAAATGCACTAGGACTCCTGGCTGGGTCACGGGAGCTCAGAGAGACCTCACGTCCTGCCAAAGGTCACACACGAAATGAGCAGTAAAGCTTGGGTTCAGAAAAGAGAAAGGGTTAGGACCATCCCTGGAGAAGCTGCCCTGGGCATAGGGCTGCGCACCCCACTGCAGTGAGCTCTGGACGCTGCGAGAGGCCCAGCTAGATCATGCTTGAGGGGCACTCATGAGCTGGCCGGGCTGTGGAGGGTGGACTGGCACCTGGGTGCACAAGGCCTCCAGGACAAGAGGTCTGGAGCAGGGGACGGGGCACTGTGAGCACAGACGAGGCACGGAAGAGCAGTGAGGTCTGGAGAGCCTGGACTGAGAGTCTCTGCTCTCCTGTTGCTTCAGTCTCTGAGACTCTGCAGCCCAGGATGTAGAGCCTGCAGGCTTCTGCCCTTCCTCGGTCTCCCTTTTCACCCCTACTGGCACGCTAAAGAGGGACACCTTATGGAAATCAATGAGATCCGTGAGAGTTGCGTGGCGATTGGGGTCCACTCCCAGGAAGCTGTAAAAGTCCCCAGATGCATCCACGAGGAAGTGCTTGAAGCCTTTCTGCAGGCGGTAGGAGAGGGTGTAGCCCCAGATCTTCTCACTGACGCGCACCAGAAACGCACCCTCAGTCATGTTCTCCAAGAGATCCTCTGCATTTTCTCTGCTAATAATTCCTGATTAAAAAAGAAAGAAAAGAAAAAGTCAGTGGATTCTGTAGCCCTCCTCTCCCTCTCTTCCTTGCCTATGCCCCCCACCCTGTAGTGTGGTCCGTGAACAGATCCTGCCTTGCAGGGGACTAGGAAAGGAGGAAGTGTGTGGGACTGACCAGAGCTCCTCTCCTCCCAAAGAGGGGCTTCTTGGCCCAGAGCACTCAACTGTGGACCCAGGGGCAGTTTCCACTAGGCCTTGAGGTGAACACGTGTTCCTCCAAATTAAGCCATGCTAATCTGGATTAATGCTTAAGCAAGAAATTAGCAATGAGGCAGAATTACAGCATCTGTGGATTACAGATAGGAGTGAGTAGGCACTGCTCTGTGGCACCCCTTAGAGTCCTGCTTTAACAACTCCCAAGAATGACTGATAACCAAGGCCCCGCTCACTTTTCTGGAACCATAAGTGACACCCTGAAATCAGTATCTTCCCTTGTGGCCTAAAATAACTTCCTCCAAGTGGGCAGACTCTCAAATGGGCACAGGACTGAGGCTGAAGCATCCCTTTCACTCCAGGCACAGAACGCCCTAACATGTTGCCCTCCTAAGCAGCGTGGTCTCATCCCAGAATGGAGGACATGCCTGGCCCTGGAGCTGTGTATGTGGTGGCTATCATGACTCCAATCTTAAACATCTCCAAAGCTCCCCGTGCTGAAGCCAGATCCCCAGTGAGGGAGTTACTGGAAAGGGTGAGACCTTTGGGAGGAGGGGTCTGGCTAGAGGAACAAGGCCACTGAGGATAAGCCCTGCCAGGAACCGTTGCCCATCCCTCACACACTCCCTGTCATGGTGTCTGCCTCACCGTAGACCCAAAAGCAGTGGAGCCAAGTGACCATGAACCGAATCCTCTGAAACCATCTTCCCCCTTGAAGTAGTTTTCCCAGGTATTTCCTCACAGAGCTAGAAAGCTAACCTTAAAAATAGGCAGGCACTATGTTCCTGGAGGCTCAGACTCTGCAGGGCAGGAGCTGGGAAGGAGAGGGGGAGATAAAAGAGATGGATTTGCTCCCCAGCTCTGCCCTCCTCTGGCTATCAGATCTGTTGCCAAGCCCTCCACTTCTCCTTTGTCCTTTGAGATGTAAATCGCCACCACTATCAACTTCAAAGGCACACTAGGACTTTAAGTGACACAGAACTCAAGATGAAGTTTTTACAGGAGAATAGCTATGGAGATACTGAGTCCTGGGATTCTCTGCCGTTTTGAAGGAGCACAGAATTGCAACACACCGTCCCTGTGCATGCGCGCTTGCTGGCCCCTTGTGTGCAGTTAGCCAGCGGGAGCATCGAGGTCAGTGCCAAGTAGGGGGGAGTAGCTAAGCTGCTCATCTCTGTGACTCTGAGAGCTGCTCCCCACCGATGACTGCCTCCCACTGGGCCCATGGAGCACTCCCACGCTCACCTGCTCAGCTCCCTTCCTGCAGGTCATCTATCCAACATGGTGCACACTTCCCCTTCCTGGTGGTCAGAGCAGAGCACACAGAGGCAATTGCCCTGTCTGATGTTCTGCCTTCTACAGACCCTACTATGTCTGGGGACCACCAATTTCCTCCTTTCCCAGAACTCCCATCAAGGGCAGCCAGGCCAGTTTTCCTATCCCCAGTTGGGCTGTACAAAAAGAAAGCAAGAGAGAAGAGGGCATGGAGGCTGGAGGAAGAAGGCCCAAAGTCACTCCAAAGCCCACACCTGGTGAGGACTGCAGTGACAGCAGTGTGCCAAAGCAGAGATGTCACAGTTACATTTCTTTTCTTCTAAACAAGATTCTTTTTAATCTTTTAGTGATTTTTGTTTTTCAATAATAAAAATTATATAGATTTTGGAATACAGCATGACATTGTGATGTGTACTCATGACAAATGAATACACATGTAATACTTATGTACATATAAAATTATTGGGGTAATAATGCTTAAAATCTATTCTCTTGACAATTTTCAAATACAGTGGTACCTCAGTTCACAAACTCTGCTTTATGATTTTGGAAAAGATGGTCAAACTCGCGATCATGTGGGAGGGGTGGCCGCAGTTGTGTTTGTCACCTGATGCATAGCTTACAAACAAAAACAAAATTTTGCCAAACATTTCTGTTAGTGAATCAAACTGTTTCCAAATGAAAGTGTCTGTGAACACTGCGGCCACCACAATGTGCGACATCTCTTGACCCTATTCTTATTGTCTGACTGTGATTTAGAATCCTCTGGTCCACATGCCCTCTGGGTCCTTCACCGGCCCCCAGGCAATGCCGTTCTTCCATCAGTGTTCAGGGGTCCAGCATTTTTAAGTAGGGGACTGCGACTTCATCCTCCTGTGTTCCAGGGTGGCCTGGGACGAGCAGCAGCACGTGCCCCTGCAGGTTCTTTCTCAGCCCGGTCTCGCCCGGGACAACAGGAAACAGCTCGTGCTGCTGCGGAAGCACCTCGTCTCCTTCCTTCCTTCCTTCCTTCTGCCCTCCCCCCCCCAACCTTGGTAAGTATTTATGTATCGTTATCACAGGACCTCTGGGGGTCAGAGGGAGTGAGGCCCGGGTCCTGCCTTCCAGAACCTATGAGTTTAGACAGATGTAAAGATTGGCAAAAAAAAAAAAAAAAAAAAAAAAAAAAAAAAAAAAAAAAAAAAAAAAAAAAAAAAAAAAGTTAAATAAAAGGAAAAATATGCTATTGTTTGAATGTCTAAGCCCAAATGCTACACGCATGGCTCCAAAGGTGGCACTCTTGGGCATATAGGGCCATTTCCAGAGGTAGGAGCTGGGGGAAGCCCAGGTGGGGGCGGGAACACAGAGTGGACATGGGACTGTGGCTTCAAGGTCTGTCTGTGCCTACTGGAGGTGTGAGGGTGCCACTCGGGCACATACTCCACTGTGCTGCCATCCATGCCCGAGATGATCCAGCCCCAGTCACCCTCCCAAGCTGGCACACTGTGGTTAGACTCTGAGCCAGCAAAACAACAAGCTAAGTAATGCTTTTATCTTTGTGAAGTTCATTGCCTCAGGCATTTCACCGCAGTAATGTGAGGCCAACAAATCCAGGCTCACTGTGAGCCTCAGAGGTCACACAGACAGGGGCCAGCAGCTGTGGAAGCACCCAGGAGCTCTGAAACCCAAGATAGAAGGATGAAAGCAAGCGAGCAGGTGAGGAGGACAGCTTGCAAATGCAGTGAGCCCAGGGTTCTTCCGGCTGCAAGGAGGGCCAAGTCAGGAGGCAGGGCACCTGCAGAACATGCGGAGGTCAGCAGGCATCCAGCCCACGGGGGTCTCCAGGTGCAGTAACAGAAGTGGGAGGCCTTTAGAATAATATTTTCAGTATCCTGAGAGACTAATGGCTGCATTTACTGTCTTTCAGGGAGAAGGGCAGAATAAAACCATCTTCAGGGAAGGAATGGATAGAATTGACTATAAAGAAAGTTCTAGAGGCTGTACTTCAGGAAGAAGAAAAATTATCTGGACAGAGAGTCTGAGATACCATCAGTAATGATGAAAGTAGATGCTGTAGGTCAATCTAAAATTTAAAAAAAAACTTATAATAACAATGCGTCTTATTTACTTTTCTCACTGCTGACACAAAAGACCTGCTGAGGGGCCCGGGGAGATGGCTCAGTAGAATAAGTGCTTCCCTGGCAAGTTCAAGGACCTGAGTTCAATCCCTGGTTCTGAAAAAAAAAAA